AAATCGAACTCTAGTTCCTATTGGTAACTTTGCAGATTGAATACCTAAGTTGTGAGCTAGAAGTGTTATTTGCCGCTGAGACCTGTGGCTGAGAGCTTAAATCCAGCCGAGAGAAGATAGCAGATTCAATACAAATCCCAGATTTCGCCAACGTGGCCAATCAGAACGGAGAATTTGCCCCTGAGTTCTTTTGTGCTGATTTAAGCTCTCGGTCACAAGTCTCAACTGCAAGCAGCACATGTGGCCATAGGATCAAATTCGACATTGTTCTGTGGCTGAAGGAGTCGGGCATAAGCTTTTCGTCTGACATTTCGTCGAAAGAACGCATCAACATAGACCCTGAGAATAAATAATCCTTCTCATATTTAAAGATTTATTTATTATTTCGTCGTCATCCAGTGCCAGATCTTGCCAAGCTAAGCGTAAATCTACAAACTGCGCAAGCATATATCCGCTCGTTCTCGAGGTCAGCTAGCTGATTGACTAACTCCCTCTAGCAGGGAGATAATGTCCCGGAGGAGTCTGCTCTCCAACCCATCTCCAGATTCTTGTCGTCTAGGCCGTCCCAATTCCGCATCTTATTATTCTACATGCAATCTTAGTCCGCGTCACAAATAGCTGCTAGCTTCGAACTGACCTTTATTCTGCGCTTCCTTTGCATGTACTTGTAAGCCGTGTGCAGGTGCTTGCATATCATAGCGATGCACAGCAGCACCTCCAGAACAATGATGAGATCAAGAACGTCGAGGGCACGCATTCGTAATAGTGTTGTGTCTTGGGAAGGGTAAATGTTTAGATGAAAGAACTGTCCGAGATTCGGAGAGATGGATGTCGTTTTGTAACTAATGCCCTGGTTTATAAACTTTTGGCCAACTTATTGGAGGCGATTCTTCCTGGGACTGTGAATGGATGCTCGAGACTTTGACTTTGTGATCCTGATGGCTTATTTTTCGCGTTAAAATTTAACACACCTTGTCTGGGAACCTTGTAAATTCACGCATGTAGTCCTTGTTGCCAGTCACATCCTCACAGAGTGGATCAAGATAAAGGTCACAGAACCAAATTAAAACTTCAACATATTTATTCTAGTCCTCATTTCGCGAGATTTATATTCCTGGAATGCCTCATTCCATAGAGATCCTCAAAGACAGTCTAGGTCCGTGAATCCATGTTCCCAAGATGATGTCTCAAACGTCTGGTATTCCAAGCTCAAAGGGAATCTGACCATAAATTCAGGTTCCCGATCGAAAAGGTCCACGCTCAGACGACCCCAATTAAGTGTAGATCTGTTAAAGATTTCCACCATCTTCAGCCAGCGATAGCCACAATTCGTACCACAAGAAGGATCACTACACCATAGTATCCCTTCAGTATAGCTATTGAAAATGGGATGATCCTCACTGTCAAAAGTGAGGTTTGAAAGCCAATCCATGCTATCCGCACTAACACTGCGTATTCTCATTTTGACTTGGAGCGCAACATAATCTCCCTCAAGAACCCAGAGGTATTGTGTGTCACAGTAGCGACAACGGTATTGGTGTCCGGGGCACTCGAGTCTCGTCTGGTACTTTAAATCGTGTGCATGACACACAGGCAGCTTATGGAGGTTGTTGGGGTGCCTCGAGAGAGCGCAATCATCCGAAACCAGGCATGAAACGATGGAATCGAGTTGATTCGAAGCATGGAGGCAAAGATTGCCCGGCTCCAGCTGCCTCAGATGCTTCATCAGATGACTTTTCAAAGCTTCCAACTCGGGGAACTGTTGAGCATTGAGCTTTGCCAAGGGGAATGTTCTGAACACTTCTGATGTAGCCCTATAGTACCCTGGGTCGACGGAAATCCCTGCACGATATTTCTGGAAGGCTGGTCGATCTCTAGAGTCCTTTCTGCCGATAAGAACATGTTCCGGATCGGTACAATTGACCGTTGTCTTCCTTCTGATGTACGGCTTGACCTTGCCGGAAACGTTGATGTGCTTGCAAACAGCAAGTTTGCCCAGTAATCCGACGCACTTGTAGGTCGCTTTCTGACCCTGAGGAAATAGAAGTGTTGGATGCTCTTCATGACATCCAGTACATTGGCGCGGCAGCCACAGCCCCATTAATCTACTCTCCAGTTCCCCTGAGTCGAAGAGACGGCCGCAAGGAGTACAAAGGGATCTTCGTAGCAGTATCCGTTGAATCTCCCTAAGTTCATCGAACTGAGCTTTGGTGATGCAGGAGTGCTCTTCGCCACTCCGAAGAATATCAGTCCGGAAAGCTTGGAACTTGAAATCGTCGGCCAAGTTGCGTAAGGCGCTGCAGGTTTGGCGGACCATATAGAGAGAGCTGTGTGGGAGAAATAGCATGACAAGGACTATCAACTCTGGTGGCAGTTGTAGTAGTCTAATCCCTTGGTTTCTAATCTCGGGAGGTGCTGAAACAAGACCTTTGTCAGGTAGGGGTGTCTGAACCGAACAACTCTCTTCTTTAAAATCTGGAATGCGATAAGTGCCTCTGCTGGACCGAAAACGGTTCAAGAGACGCTGGATCGGTGTGTGTGAGAAGTTATATTCCAGCCTGAGGCGAGTCATGGCGATGATGCTTGTGAGTGGTATGAAGTGATGATCACTGATTTGAAGGACGACAGGATAGACGAGCGTTATATAAATAAGAAAATGGCGGGGTCGCCTGACTTAAGATCAGAAACTTTACAGTGTAGACTTTCATAAAGAAGAATCAGTGGTTCTCAGAAATTACTACAGTAGAGGCTACACTTTATACTCAAAGTTAATTTCTGAGGTTCCTCCACTTACCTGCTGCATTTTTATCTTTGACCTTCGCAAAAGAATAACAAACTTTAGTGTGGCAGGCACAAATTTTGTAATAAACCTATCCTCAAGAAGCTGAAATAACCTCAGCAAATGATAATATTGGGGAGATAAAGTAGTTGTGCTATGATGCAGCGGGGGCAACTGAGAGCCCAAGACTTGCAGTCCCGTGATTCATCGTCTCGTTCAACATGATATGGTTCCATTCGACGAGGGTCACGGCGGCGGGGGGCGATGTGATTGTAGCAGGCCTCGGCTCTTTTTATGAGGAGCGTCTTTTTCCCCTTGCAACACCAACCAGATTACGCATATCAGCCCAAATACCCCCCTAATGCATTCTCAGGTTTTGAGGAGGTCGAGAGGGTACTTCACGGTTTTGGAGGGCGCGGATCTCACTGTTGGGGCGACGCATGTCTTGCCGCTCTTTTTGAGCGCTGAGTTCGTCGTTGTCTTCGTCGTTATCACCGGGCACTTGGCCCATCTACCCATCTCTTATCTTCACCTTAACCTTTTTCTCACCAATACATTGGCCATGTTAGTGAGCCAGCCTCCCATGGTTGCTGACGGTAGTGGTGGTGATGTATCTGGCAGTGTGATGGCTGGTTCTAGTGGTGACTTTCGGCTGGTGTTGGTGTTTTGTGAAGCTTGAAAAAAAGGAGGCATAGAAAAGGACTATTCTCTGCCTCGACTCCCTCCGCCTGCCCCCGAAAACTTTCAATCTCGTCCTTCATCGTCTGCATCTCGGCCCTCAACCCAAACGGGCAATGTCCTTCCCTTTCTCCACCAAGGTCACGACATAGGCGGCCGTGGTGAGCCCTTTGGCCACAGTTTCGATGATAATACCCCAGGCAGACACGGCTGTTACTTGGGAACAGGCCGCTTTGACCTCCCCAACAGCGCTTCCGGCGGCGGAAACCCGGTCGGCGCCGGCGAGCAGGGTTTGGCGGGCGGAGGGCTCGTCGGCGTGCATCTTGTTATTGTTTTTTCTGATGCTGTTCGTGGTGAATTCATCTCCAGGTCTTTAGGAGATACTCATACTTATACACCTTCTCACTGATAGTAGTTTTATCCCTATAATAGCCAATATATAAATTATGGTGGTAAGCTAGTCTCCCATTGTTGCTGGCCAGACATCTAGGTATGATGTCTAAGTTGTGAGCTTGATGGTAGTGCGATGGTCTAGTTCTGCTGGTGAGCCAGTCTCCCATGGTTGCTGGCGGCGGTGGTGAGGTAGACGGCACTGTGATGGTCTGGCACTGCTGGTGTTGGGGCTCGAGCCAGTGCTATCTGTTATTACTCCTGCTGGTTGCGGTTAAGGAGGTATTTAGGCCGCTCTAGTCTGATTGAGCCAGAATGCCATTGCGAGCGTTTTCGTCTCCCCCTGACTGAGCCCTCAGCCTCTTTCGTGCGAACCTAAGACCCTGTTTGTTGGAGAAGTCCCTAGTGGCGTTCCTTTCTTCCCTTTTCTGCTTTGCTCATCCGCCCCGAGGATATTTCATACCTTATCGATTGGCGAAGAGAATTAACGTTCGAGGTGTGTATTGAGTTCCAGTCGCTACAAGAATCCAAATGTTGGGACAGGGCGGTGTCTGGCAACACCAGGCTCACGGGCCGGATCCTCGCGGCCAATTTTGTCATTTGGCTGGTAAGTCTACCGGATGTTCAGTTGAGATGGGGCAAGTAACATAGTACGAATCTCAAGTAGAAAGTAACGATTTCGGGGGCCTCATCGATCGGTGCTGTTTTCGCGGGTTGACTGACAGATTGATGGTGGGTGAGAATGACAATTTGCCCAGTTACATTGTCTCTTTGAACAAACATACCTAATCGCACAAATTCCAACTCAAAGCCTGATCAAATTGGGTATTGGGAAGGTTCTTGACTCCACAGAACTTCTGTACCTGACTGAGCATATATAAAGTTTGAAAATCGGTGATTAGAGGGCAAGCTTCTGAGTCAAACCATTTAATGATCTTGGAATGAAATTTAACTTAGGGAAACTCTAATATAATATGATTGGACTCGATGTATCTCTGCATCCTTAAACTTTCTGACTTGCAGGTCAGGTAGCCATTTTGCAAGCAAGGTAATACTATAAAACATGTACATTCTGTCTTTGAACCCCCTGACTTGTTCTTGTTCAATTCAGCCCACATCAGCTCCTCTTAGACCACCCATCAACATCGCCACCATGCCTCACTTCAAATTAGATCCACAGTACTCATTGCCGTGGTTCCAACGCATGCGTGACCGGTTCCGACTCAGGGATGGTAGATATCAGGTCGCTCTCCTGGAGGCCTATGACGGAGAAACGGCAGTCCACTTGGATACACCCGTGCAAGAAGATGCAGACCTTTTAGCACCGTTCGAGCCCTTGAAGTTGGGGAGTCAACAAAACCTAGGATCTCAACTACTACAACTCCCGCCAGAGCTACTGCTTCACGTCATGCGCTTTCTACCGAATAGCTCGCTTTACATGCTGCGTCAAACCTGTCAGGCCCTGCGCGAATTAACCGAAGATATGGAGTTTGACGATTTCTATTGGGACATCCTGCGCTATACAGAACAGACTAAACGCGTCCTTGGATCTACGCTACTTGGATCTACATGCGAACAACTTCGTCTCATCAAGCGGATTTTGCTGCGAAGGTCACTATGCGAGCCCTGTGGTGATCTCCTAGACTCCGGGGAACTGGAGACTCGGCTACGGAGACTTCTGCAGCCCATTCGTTGCGCTGGATGCAATCAAAACCACCCAGAACTTCTTTTCCCGCAGTATAAGGAAAAAGAAAATGTCTGCGTGGGGTTGTTGGGGCACGTCGACCTTTGCAAGCATGTCAAAGTCTCGGCAAAACTGCAACCGAATTGTAGGGAAAGTCTGTATGCTCACTGCACACATCCTGATCACTACGTTGCGGATAGTAAAGGAGCCGCCGATTTACGGAGCGTCACAAGATCTTACCCAAACATCCGCATTTCATGCCGAGAAGCCATCCACGAAATTTTGTTATCAAAATCTTTCCCAATGCTCAAGATCAACCAGCGACAATTTCCAGGAATGGCCGCACTGCAGGTGCGTCTGCTGGAACAATTGAAGGAAAATGGTGTTGAGGGTCTTTGTCAACATGCTTCATCACAGATCGATTCTATCGTGTCGTGTATGATATCTGACAAATGCAAATGCTTCCCCGTCTCTGGGACGCCGGTTCACAAACTCGAGGCTTGTTACGGCCCAAAAGCTTGGTGTCCAAACCACGGCTATAATTGCCGGCATTGCGGGGCTCGTTACTTCTGGATATACGAGGGTGATTACATTGTTCTGAGGTTTGTGATGCTCTCGGATAACACCGGCCCGGACAGCTTTGGGTGGCTTTCGAACCTGACATTTGACACGGGCGAGCATCCTATCTTCAACGACAACACCAAGGGCGTGCTTTGGTGTGACAATCCTTCATGTGGCACTGGCTGTGGACAACGCTGGCTTTTGTTGGTGGAGATACTGAAAAGGAGTTCACTACGACGTCACGGGGGAGATACCCAAGTTCCTCCGCGGGATCACTACTCTGCCCAGAAGTTGCCATTCACACTGGAATATCAAGTGGTTCAGGATGCTATGGAATGGCCGACTGACCTATCCATGGACCTCATGTTCCCAATAGCCACTCTTTTCGGTGCGCCCGTCGGTCTGAATAGGAGCGTATAAGAATTAGACCTGAGCACAGTTGTATATTCCTTGCTAAATGACAAATTGGGCGGCGATTATCATGCCCTGGACCCTGGCATTGACAGATACCCCTTATGTGGTGCCGCACTTTCACTTTTCCTCCAACCTCCAGGAAACCAAAACTCTTTGTCTCTCTGTAACTGGCCCAACCTTACAGCCCCTCCCGGCCATCTGCCCATCATGGTTCTGAGGCATCAGCACCCTCGACATCAAATCGTCAACTAGTGAACAAATATTAGTTTTATTCCCAAGCTTCTGTGACATTTGATACTACCGTCTCGGCGACTCTCTCTCTCTTCATCATGCCCAGGCCTTCTGATACATTTAATTCCTCTTTCTGCAACCGTTCTTTTCTCGGGCACGATAGCTATTTTATCAGCCACGGTTCTGAGTGCGTTTTTGGTACAACATCTTTATACCGGCCTCTGACCTACTCGACAAATGTCCTCATTCACCCCCAAAAGACCCTCCAGCAGCCTGCCTCTTGGCCATTTGATCAGGAGCAAGGCCCCGCTCCGCCAACTGGATCCCATCTTCTACACCATAATATCAGTCTCTTTATTGAACATCTTCATACGAGACTTGGCTTTGGGCCTGTGACCCAGCAAACAAACTCTCGGCCATATTTTGGGGCACAGTCCCCCATGGCCACCACGCCAGAAACAATTGTGGCCACCATGGCCGCAATATCCAGGACCATTCTTGGTGATGCTGATGATGGTGCGCTCGTGCAGCAGCAGCAGCCGTAGATTTGCGCTAGTCTGGTTGAGATCTTTACCGGAGATCTGTCTCCGCCTCGAATGTTTCAAGACATATAGGGTTGCTGATTTCGGTTCTGGCGCGATTTGTATTACTTGTCACTGAGGCGATGGTGGTAATGAAAACCCTTCTCTTCCCATTTTTGGAGCGCAGTTCTCTACTCCGAGCTCCTTCCCGTGCCACGGAAGCTCCAGGGTTGCCCCTCAGTGGTGATCCATGGGCTTATCTTCTTGAGGTGGCTGAGCTGATTGGTGAGGTTGGCGGGGACGATGCGACTGAGAGTGCTGAGCCTGACGATGGGATCGCGGCGGAGTTACTGCTCATATTGAGTTGATCGAACTGAAGAGTTGCTGTTGAGACGTCTTGGGCTAACACGACTGGTCTCGCGAGGTTGCTTCCTGACCTCCGCCGGGCCCTGTCTTTCGATCTGCTATCACTTCTTCAATCGCTGAGCGCCGTTGATGATAGAAGATTGAAGTTTTTAGGTCAGAGGTAGGCGCAATTGTTGGTACGTTGACTTGGAGGAGAGACTAAAAGTCCAGGATACCGTGGTTGAGTCGAAAACATCTTTAATCACCAGGGGCAGCTCCTCAGTCGCATCCTCCTTCGCAATCAATCTCGACCTGGGTACTGAACCCCAATCATATACGATTCTTCTTCTTTTCGACCTCGAAGACCTCGAGTGTCGCCCTTCATTGTCTCAACTTGAAAAGGTGTGCAATGTCGATCAAACATTCGATCACGTCGATCGTCACCGCGAGCGTCCCGAAAGCAGGTATGGCTAAAGCCGGTCGTGTTATTGGTACCAATATTGCTGCGAGACCTGAAAACGCGATTAGTAACAACTATGGAATGGAAAGGAAAGCCAGAAAGCTTGCCGGATATTGATTCGACGTCCCGATGAGGTTACCGACCTGACAACCCAGCGTCGACTATCACAGCGAGGCCCGGCCGCGACGGCCGTTTACTACAGAGAAGATGAATCGGGGAAAAAGAGAGAAAGCGAGTCGTGTGGCATCTGCATCATGGTTGGAAAGCCTTCTAAGTTTGACAGTAGCGGATGACACTTGCAGCTTGTCTGAACAATATCGCGAAGTAGTGTACTATGAAGCGTTGCTGAAAGGAGTCCTACTGAGGTCGGTCGCTGCAAATTGAGCCCCGGTGTCAACTATCGCATGTGGTCTCCTGGTGACTGGTGGTAGATACTTTGCCGATGGGAGCGTTCTTGGCTGTTCGTGAGAGACGTTGACTCGGAGGTCTTTTGCGAGCGGTAACCAAACTCTGCATGCCATATCTGTCGATAGTCGTCAGTAGTGAATGGGAATACATGTCGTCAACATACTTGAGCTTGATTGACTTTGAAGTTGTAGTCGGGAGTCTCGAGTGCAAGTTGTTGCTGTTGGAGATTCATAATCGATACATCGGACGAATCGTGGCCGTCTTTCGTTGTAGATGACAGTTCTTGGTAGGCGAGAACTTGGGATAAAATAGCCAAGAGGTTGCCAAAGACGATGAGGCATCGGTTTCCAAGGATGGAAAGTGAATGCCGATGGGCCACAATAGATCCACCAGTTTGAGTAAAGGAGTGACGGGTGATAGTCTCAACAAGAAGGCACTTGAGTTCATGTCACCCAAGGGGGATCAAGGCTATCGCAGCTTGAATTATATGGGGTCGTTTCCATCCGCCATTACAAATGACGAATATCAGCCCATACCGCCACCACTGGAAGGGATAGTGCCAGTACAAGCAGTGGGGATAGATGACCTGGTCGCCGAGGTGCGCCGACGTACACTGAGTGGTGTCGCAGGGGCTTCACAGTTGAGATGGGAATCCAATATGACAGCAGATTATACAGCTGAACAGCCCTGTGCTCTCATGGGATGGGAGATCGCCTTGATTGGCATGGCTCCAGTCCCTGCAGCAGATCTTCGCGGAAGAATAGCTTTGTAGATCCCGGTGGAGATGCGGGTAGGTTGGAGGGTATTCCCGATCCGAATGCTGTTGGTATGTGTCATTTCTGGCGAACATGGACACTCGCGACTGGTGCTGGTATTCATGATGAATGAGGCGTGTATCGTACCCAGGTTGCAAGACGTGGTAGTTTGACAGGCTGAGTGTCGTGAGAGGAGCTGGGTAATTTTGGCTATCTTCCATGACGCCTGGTCTGGCAGTTGTGGTGGCTTGTGGAAAGCTCGCAAAACAATTGCAGTTGAAATGATCGAGTTGCGAAAGTCAAGCTCTGACTCAGTGTTTCGAGGAAACGACAGAGGTAGAATGTAACGAAAGGAAGGCGTACTCGGTGACGACTTGAAGACGTAGAGATTGTCCAAGATGTTGGATGAAGAGTGCCGAGAGTGTAAGGGGTAAGAGTGTAGCGGAGGCATCGTTTTTATACCGATTTGTTGTTGGTGGTTGTGTGTGGACAACTCGGTAATGGGGCTGCTTTAGCTTCACCAGCAAAATTGATAGAGTTGTGCTGGCTACTGGACCCGGACAAGGTGCGCTTGATCGACGTGGTCATGGTGAATGATGAAAAGACCAGTGATCGGTGAAAGCGCCTGACCTATAGACCCGCGGACCGGGCTAGCCAGGTCTTACACTGTCGCAAGCGACAGATGCCTGACTAGTTCAATGCCTCCCTTCCTCTCTTCCTTCGTTAATCCAGGGGTGTTTAACGTGGTTTGCCCCGCCACGGGTTGTTTTTACGTGATTTGTCTCGTTCAACACGCGTGGTTCTTTTAACGTGATTTGTCTCGTTCAACACTTGGATGGCTTGTGTCCTAGCCATGGCGATGAGTGACGGAGGGTAGTGTCCCCTCGAGAACAGTGAGCCGACGGGAGAGATCGACGGGAACGTCGCGCTCGAGTGCTTGAAGTCGGCCAAGGAGGCCAATCTGCTCAAGCCGAGTCACCTTGTCCTCCAGATTTGAGAAGAGAAGTCTCCTCTCTCGTTGTAGCTCTTCTTGGGCATTGAGCTTGCCCTCCAGACCCGTCACCTCGGCCTGGATTGCCATCCGGGCCACTACCCTCGCCTCCTCCAGCACAGGGCCAAACTCCTCCATCCAAGCCGCCTCCGCCTGCATTTTCATGTGGTCCCCAAACCGCCCTCTGGGCACAAGCCCCATCTCCATCATTTCAGACTCTGCTTGTGGTCAGTTTGGACATTGCGAACGTATAGATCTGAGTTCGTACCGTCGGTCTCCTTCTTGTCCTTCTTCCCCTTGCCCCACCACCGGACAAACTTCGCCCCCAAATGCACCGAGGTGAAGAAGTAGGCCACCACGGTGACCACCTTCACCGCGGTGTCGAGAACCGTCATCCAGGCAGACATGATTGTTGTTGTTGTTGTTGTTGTTGTTGTTGTTGTTGCTGCTGCTGCTGCGGTTGTCGTGAAGCCTGGAGAGGAACAAGTCAAACATGTTCGTCGACGTAATGAAGAAGTCCATGGCTGCAGTTTGGGAAAGAGGCATTCTACTGATATTACGGGAAGGAAGTCCATTGACCCAGGTGTTGATGGGGAAGAGGTCTGATCCATCATTGGGAAGGAAGGAGGCCATCGCGATCCGTTATCGATAACCCAACCCAGCACATGGCTGTTGAACCAGAGGATCATTAAGACTTAGGTTGGTGGAATTGATTAAGATAATCTAATTAGCATTTAATAAAGCATATGACAAGTTTATATGTTCAAGGTCAAAGATTGGAATGAATTTGATCAACTTTAGTAAAGCCCCATCATAAGTTTATGCTCCTATCTAGCAGTGACTACAACTCAATACATAACTGACGACCAAGATCAATAGAAAGACGCAACCCTAGTCATAACTCCAGCCGCCCTCTCCTCATCACTCAAATTCTCCAGAGTCGCAATAAAAAATGTCTGATCAACCTTTAACTTCGACACCTCAACCCAGAATCTCTCCCCTCCCAATTCCTTCGGGAACTTGTCTCCAAAAAACACTGCCATAAGTCAGCAAGATCCTCAAGCTCACACCATGTTGCAATAATACTTACTAAATGGAACTGTATAAACTTTAAACCTCTCAAGATCAAAGACCTGGATCTTTTCCTGCTCAGTCCTCGTCACCGCAAGGCCGATCTTATTGGGCTTCGCCCCAGCTTTCAGCAGCCGTACTAGAATCTCCATGACGTTTCTCCAGTGATCTAAATCAGCAGACTTGTGGTACTCCGTCGGCAAATCCCACAGTTTGATACGACTTTGTTGACTCATCAGTCCCCAAGCTGCTGTGTCCACGACGCTGAAGTTGTTGCAGTCCAGTAACGTCAAGTCAAGGGACTCTTCTTCTTCTTGGAGTAAGTACCGAACGGCTCCGATGTTGGCTGTCAGTGCGGCAATGTGCAGTGCAGTTCTCCCTTTGAACTCGCCCTCTGCAACTTGAGCGTTGAGATGTTCTGGCTCATACCATTTCTGAACGATCAGTCTCAGTGCGGCGTTGGCCATGGTACTACTGGTCTGATACTCAGGGAAATACGCAACCTGATGAAGCGCAGTAAAGCTCGAATCAGACATCTTACATATATCCCAGAAGCACGAATCCGGAAGATCCAGTTGTAAGACCTGTTCGAGCTGGAGAATAGCGTTGGAGTAGGATTTACAGCGACGCAGGAGTAACCCTAGAATGGTCTCATCTGATGTGCTGACTTGTTGGGTAAGATCACATAAACCAGTGTCGTAAAACCAGCGAGCGAGGATGAACTTTCCGCTCATGAGGGCTTTGGTGTAGTGAAGATAGTAGTCCGTTTTCGAGTCTCGATGTTTCCTGAATACATCGAGATACTCAACATTATTCGGCAAACCCCTGAAAGACCCGTAGTAAAGATGCCACTGCTCTGATGAGAGGTCGTCTGCTTGCGAGTGACGAAGCAGAACATCAAATGTGATCCAGTCTTGTGTTGCTCCCGCGATGAGAATATACTCCATCCACTTCCGTGGTGTTGGTTTCGGTATCTTTCCAGAACCGAAAAGATAGTCCAGCACGAATGGCTGCCCATGTTGAACAGCCAGGCGGTGGACGTCGTCTGTATCGGCGCCGTAGTCCACCAACATATCGAAAGTCTTGATAAATGCTTCCTGATGGTGTTTACCATGGATGAGGAGTCTTCTGCCTATGCCTTGAGCAGCATATGTGACGCACCAAGCGATGATGGGGTTGTCCTGTCCCGAACTGTCATTCGACCCAAACTTTCGTTGGTAAGTGTTGAGAAAGTCCTTAACCTTCTTTTTGGCTACATTCCGCAATAAGATCTCAAGCATGTAGTATTGATGGTTCATCGCGGCAAACCAGACGGGGGAGACATGGGACATGCCACCAAAGGTATCAGAATACGAAACCTCCAGACCAGGAAGATCAAATGGATCAGCGCCAGAGGTGACCAAGGCCTGGGCTGCGACACTTTTATTCGCGGCAACGGCCCATGTCAATGGCGTTCCGTCAACATCACCGTATGTTGAGTCCAAGCCTTGTCGATAGCGATGTCCAGCCTTTGAACGCGCTTCTAGGTCTGCACCAGCCTCAATCAGCCGTCGACACACCTCAGGAATATCCATGTCGTCGAAGGAGCTGAGAAAATGAAGCGGAATAGTTCTTTCATCGCTTGCGACCGACGGATCAGCACCGCAATCCAAGAGATGAAATACAACGTCTCTGTGTCCCGCTCTTGAAGCCCAAAGAAGAGGGGATTCATTCCATTCGTTCACATGGTTTACATTGACAAGACCATCGTCCGTTAACTGTTTTAAAAGCTCAAGACGATTAGACATTGCACAAAGAAGTACAGTCTGCCCTTGATTAGCATCCATGCCGATTCGGTGACGGATTCGAGTCTCGTGAAATAGTTCGTCGTCCGAGAGCGTCTCTTGATCCCAGTATTGCGTGGGAGTTTCAATTCCAAGACCAGAGTATCTTGTACGCAGTAAGTCGACTGCTTGGGTGTATAAGTCTGGATCCAGGGCCTGTAGTCGACGCTTCGCAGTCTCACTGCCGTGGCAAATACCATCCCTCAGCCATGCCAGCTCGATATCTCTCGACCTTGGGAAATCCCGGCTTAGGGAGACGTATAGGTGGCCAACGATCCCACGAGCGCCGTAGTGCCCTTCTTCTGCTGCTTGAAGAAGCATTGCAAGTGATTCATCGATTGTGTCTTGGCTTTTGGAATGGAGCTGAACAGTTCGCAGATTGAACATTGCGTACTGCCAAGCTGCTTCTTTACGACGAGTTTGTTCTTCCTTGGGATCTTGCGCGACTCTCTTCACTTCTCGCATAACATTGCTTATGATCTCGGGTGGTAGGACCCTGAGGGTTCCCATGGAGGAGTCTGCCTACGCATGATGTCAGGTGTTATAGCACAATCCAAATGTCACTTCGCGTACCTCTAATACTGCCCGTCCCGGTCGTAGACTTATCGCCTCGTCGGGCTTCGGATCTCTGAGCTTCCGCCTAGTCAAATTAGCAAGGTCTAACTTAGCACGATTAGATCTTACCATCGCTTCCAAGTCTCGGCCACATGAGTAGCAGCAACACTTTCAGGCACTTGATCGATTCCAGGGACATCCGAAACGCGTCCGCCACGTTTGATGTGACTGGTGGTCTGATTTAGCCACTCCGTCGACCTTCCCAGACGCAGAACTCTCTTAATATCGTCGTCGGTCGGTTCGTCGAGACCTATCTCATTAGCTGCCATCTTTCGATGCAAAGTTGAAGAAGCTTACCTGGCTGAAGCCATATGTCCTGCTCTTGTGCGTTCATCTTAATAGGTCCACTCTTTTTGAAGTCCTCCGTATAGAGCCCGCGGAACTCTTCCCATATGAGATACTGATGCATGACTATTCGCATGTTCTCCAGCAGTGCTTTGATACTGGAACGAGATTTCGGCTGAACTAATGTCATCATGATAACAGAGGCCATGTCGTCAACCACCTTGTGGATCGAGTACATGCTCCTCGAAGGCTCTGTCTTCTCTTCGGGACCGAGGATATCCTCCATTCGCATAAGACAATGATAAACCGTAGCTGGAATCCTCTTCTCGTCATTTCGTTTCATCTGTTCGAAGAACGCATCTCTCGTTAGACCATCGTCTTTTACTGAGTCTAGTAACAAGTGCATCATATCTCCCGCGAGCAATCGCCATAGGACCAGGCCGACAGAGTATACATCCGCTTTGGTAAGTTGGTCGCCGTCCAGATGGTCTCGACATTCAGGTGCTTGCCAGAACCCTGAGCCAAATGGTAGTTTCATGGGAGATTTAATATCGGACCGAAGCAGAGATGATCCAAAGTCAGCAATCTTGGCGACATATGTGAGCTGGGGATCCTTGAAGATGAGGACGTTTGCTGGTTTGATGTCGCCGTGAATGATCCCAACGTCGTGTAGGGCCCGAACACCAGTGGCTATATCTACAGAGAGACCCAATACCTTGCGATACTCCACGGCTTTCGGATTATCCAAGAACTTTTCGAGGTCAATTTCCGCTGCTTCAAGTACAAAGGAAGGCATCAAAACTCCATCCTTGACAGATTTCCAGCAGATTCCCAACAATTGCACGATATTCGGATGGTTCTTGATAAACTTGTTTCGCAGGATCTGCAACTCCATCGCCATAGAAGACCACATCTTGCGACTCCTAGCACTGTTTAGATCACCATCCGGCCGCGGAATCTTGACAGCGACAAGTTCAGGTAGATTTGTGGCTTCTGGTAATAGGTCATCGTTGCGATTGAGGAAGCGAGCCTCAAGGAGATCTTTCGATCTTGCAAGGCAAACTGAGAAATAACCGCCTTTGTTGGAGCGTACTTGGACGTCGATACTCGCGTCGTCGATTAGAACGCTGAGGAGCGTCAGGGAAAGATCAAGACGTTGATGCGTTATGAGAAAAGTGGACATGAACGATAAGAGATCATGATCGCGCTGTTTGGCTTCGCTCGCCATTGTATAAACTTGAACAGCGTCACTACGGTACGGCCCGTTTGAAGCCACGGGACTCGAGTGGAGATGAAATCGGGGACGTCGATATTTTGAAGGCCGGAGCTGAGACGCAGCATGGAACATGACGGTTTCAGCCGCACCTCACTAACTCAGTTAGCTCGTCACAGTGGTCAGCATCTATTGAGTGATATTGATAGTGGCGGCACTGCCCCTCACAAGGCACACTACATGATAGCCAATGGTAACCATCGTCATCTCAGCTGGTTTCAACCCCCTCATCGTGGCAGTGCCGCACATCCGTGTCACGAGTAAAACAGCCCCCAGGGAGCAAGAAAAGATAAGACTTCACAAGAATATGTTTGAACAAACTTAGTAAAAAATTCCTTAAACTTAGAATAAATTGCCTAAGTCTTAACATCACTTAAGATAAAGGTCTCAGGTTTTCTTGCCTCTCGTTGGCATCATACATCGACAACTCTCCCTTCTCACCGTTTCTCAATATTCACTGGATGGTCACCATGACCGATCCATCTGGCACAGCTGGCACCGCCCTAGGCGCGACCAGTCTCTTTCTCCAAATCTTCCAAGGCTGCGTCGATGGCTTTTCCGTCTGGCAGAAGGGAGAAACCCTAGCTTCTGACGCTCTTATCTTCAAAGCACGCCTCGAAATGCAAGCCGCACGGTTCAAAGCCTGGGGTCTAGACTGGGGATTTGACAGAGGACCTGATGCGGCTTGTTGGAAGGATGATCGCTTCATCGAGAATGGTGATCTCGCCGTCAAGTACGTCGTCATCATCTACGGGTTCTTGGACTCGCTTGGTGAACTATCACAAGAATTTCCGGCATTGGCGTCTGCAGAGAATGTCCCTGTTTCAGCGGCGACTTCGCTTGGGGCGATGCTCCGAATGGCGTTCAAGGACTCCCAGGAGCGGGAAGAGTGGGCTAAGAAGCTTGAAGCGATGCGCGATGAGGCTAAAGTGTCGGAGAAGCTGCGATGGGCTCTCAAAGAAGGGGAGATTACAAAGACACTCGAGCTTCTCGAGTCGATGATTGATGATCTCTGCAAGTTCTTTAAACCGCCTGAGAATGACCCTGTTGCTATGCAAGTTGCTAATTCTCTACTCTCGTCCATTAACATCTCTAAGCTGAACGCTGTTGCTGCAGGAGCGCCAGATGACTCGATGCTTCAGAGTCTAGCTCTTCTCAAGGTCATGGTGCTGCAGCTTCAGCTCGGCGCTCTTAATGCAGAGAAGGTTGATGAGAAGGATAGGTCTCTGCGTGAAACGGGACCGCTCGATGAGCGAACGAGGCGATCGACTGGGGTGTTTCGGAAGGGGACCAACTCCACTGATGTCTTGGTGGAGTGGAAACTGATCGATGGTTCTCATATCCCTCCTGGACACACTGCAGCGACATACCGCGCGATGGCTGGAAATCGTATCAAGAATCTTGCACGTCTTCTGAAATGGAGTTCAAGGCTTGAAGATCTTAGGACGTTAGACTGCATTGGCGTCATCACGCGTGATGGGCCGTCCGACGACGAAGTCCGATACGGGATCTTATTCAGCATGCCAAGGAAGAAGTACACGACATTGAAGACTATTCTCGAGGGGTCCCAGGACAACATTTATCTCGACGACTGGTTCAAAGTCGCGAAGAGCGTCACACGAGCGGTGTTGTGCTTGCACCTTGCAGGCTGGTTGCACAAAGGACTTCGCAGCGAGAACATTCTGTACTTCCAAGATGACGCAGGTAATCTTTCTTATGAAGAGCCTTATCTAGCCAGTTTCGAGTACAGCCGAGAGATATCAGCACCAGGACAAACAGAAGGCGTGACAGATGATCTAGAAGCGAATCTGTATCGACATGAAGCAGTTCAAGGTGTACCAGAGGAGCCATCTGAGGATGAACAGGGACCAACAGGCAAAACTCCTTTTGCAATAAAGCACGATATCTATAGCATCGGCATCCTACTACTTGAGCTTGGCCTCCAAAAGCCAATTATCCAGCTGTATGAAGAGGCCACCCAGACTGAGGAGTACGAACATTCTGCCGCTGCGTTTCGGGAATGGATACTGAGAAAATCAATGCCGAAACTTGGACAATCGAGAGGAAAAGAGTACATGAATGCTACAGAATTATGTCTGAACTCAGAGTTTGAAGGGACTTCGACGGACGATCTGCAACAGGCGTTCTATAAGAGCGTTGTGAGACCTATAAGTTGCTCATGGGGGAGGTGAAGCGCGAAGCAGGAATAGACGCTCAGCAGCCTATGGTATGCACCTGATCTTGTTGCATCATTTTAGATCACGTTGTTTCTACACCTTAAATAACATTCTTGACGTCTGTTGTAAAATTCATTGCCTTTTCTTCAACCAGCAACAAGAGGAGGGAAAGATCATTTAGGATCTCGACCCTAAGAAAAATACAAATATAGGTAAGTTTAGTATAATTTTATAAACATTTAGTAGATCTTAGGCTTTTAGGACCCTAAATTCATCATAGATTTATTCTCCTCTGGTCGCCTGGACGCTCAAAAATGGAGGTGTAGCGCTTTATCGCCTCTTGCCACATGAGGTTTAGCGCTCCTCGCCTAAACCGTGGCCCGTTACCCGTTGCAGCCTAGCGCTGTACTACAAAGAGCAGAGACTTTTTGCCCGTTATCAAAATCCCAGGAAGGTCAACAAAGAAAAATGCAGCGCTTCCGCCTCCCCATCAACAACATTCTTCAGCACCCGCGCCAAAGTCTTCTTCCTCTCACAACACTTTTCGCACAACAGCCCACACTCTCTCCTTTCATTATGGACGGCGGATCAAGACGTCGCGGCGGTCGCGGTGGAAACCGTCGAGGCTTCAGCTCTCGTGGCGGCGGCCGCGGCGGCGGTCGTTCAAACCAGCCTCGCAACCCACAGATCAAGACTGAGAATGAGTCGCCAGATGTCGAGATGGCTTCGCCTTCGCCTGCGCCTGCGCCCGCGCCGCCGCTCACTGAAGAGCCTACCTCGCGTCGCTTCGACAGCTTGTTGGAGAACAACAAGGTCAACCCTCTCATCGTGCGCACCATCACAAACGACATGAAGTTTGAGTTCATGACGCCCGTTCAAGCTGCGACCATGGATGAACTTCTCCCCCCGAACCGCAGTGACTGTCTCGTCCAGGCGCGTACCGGCACCGGCAAGACCATGGCGTTTTTGATCCCTGCGCTGCAGACTATGATTAACCAGAACAGAGCTGCCGGCGATGGCATTTCGCTGCTTGTTATTTCACCGACTCGTGAGCTCGCGCTTCAGATCTCTGCCGAGGCGAAGAAGGTTCTTCAAGGACTTCCCAAGTATCGCGTTCAGGTTGCTATTGGAGGAACGAACAAGGATCGTGAGGAGCGGGCCATTCTTGCTGGTTGTGAGATTCTCATCGCTACACCTGGTCGTCTTCTGGATCACATGTCCAACGAGGATATCGTGTACAGCATGCGCAAGCTCAACACTCTTGTTCTCGACGAGGCAGACCGTCTTCTCGACATGGGCTTCATGAAAGATCTCCGTGACATTGTCGGCCGTCTTCCCGACAAGACCAAGTCCGACCGACAAGGCATGCTCTTCTCCGCCACCATCGCTCCCCACGTTGAACAAGTCGCTGGTCTCGTCCTCTCACCGGGCTACAAGTTCATCTCGACCATTCCTGCTGGTGAAGCCAACACCCACGAGCGCGTTCCCCAGTTCCTCGTCCAAGTTCCTACCTTTGCCGACGTTGCGCCCGCCATGGTTGGCTGTATTCGTGAGGAAGCTACTCGCGGCCAGGCATTCAAGGCGATTCTTTTCGCGCCGACCGCTGCCATCGCTGATTTCTACGGACGCCTTTTGGAGGATCTTCCCGGCCTTCCCCCGGTTTCGATCTTGCACAGCCGCATGAGCCAGAACAAGCGCACAAAAATCACCAACGACTACCGAACTGCTCGCAGCGCTATTCTCGTTGCTACCGATGTCGTCGCTCGTGGAATGGACTTCCCCGGCGTCACCACCGTCATCCAAGTCGGTATGCCCGCCGACAAGCAGAGCTACATCCACCGTCTCGGCCGAACAGCACGAGCCGACGCTGAAGGTCGTGGAATCCTGATTGTATGCGACGCAGAGGGTTTCTTCCCCAAGTACTCCCTCAAAGAAATCAACCTCATCGCCCGCGAAGCCGATCTCTCACCCAGCCAAGACGTCATCGAAGTCGCCGAGAAGATGGAGGACGACGAGAAGTCCCGTGTTTACCAAGCTTGGCTGGGCTACTACAACAGTCACATGAAGGCTCTCCGCTGGGATAAGGAGGAGCTTGTTCGACAAGCCAACGTTTATGCGCGTGAGGGTCTGGGATCGCCCGACGTGCCTACTATCCAGAAAAGCACTGCTGGCAAGATGGGTTTGAGAGGTGTGCGGGGGTTGAACACGGTTGCTGATCGTCCTCGTCAGAAACATGGTGCTCCTGGTGGACACGGGGATAATGGACGCGGAAAGCGAGGACGCAACTAGGGTTATGACAAAAATGGCTGGTTAGGTTGGAGTTGGGGATATTACGACATTACAGAAACAAGTGCATTTGCTTAGATATGAGGGCAGCATAGACTTTTTAGACTGGACATCAGAGATGTCGTGATGATCAAGACTCTGTTTACGGTACCGTGCTGTGCCAAGATTGGATGTGAACCATGACACGTGCAGTGTCTATGTTCCCAATTAAATTAGTAAATTTATACGCAGAAACAATGAGATTTACTCGAACATAATTTTCTTATCGGATATGGACTTGATGAGATATTGCGAGTTAAAATCCTTCTACTTTTCATGAGCATATCGATGCGGTGTTGCAACCTGAGATGCCTTACCCTGCGGTAAGGTGACTGGCCCGGAAGATCAATGACCCGCTCTGGTGAGGATGCCTGTTGACTGCTGACGATGCTCAGCTCTTCACCTTTACGCTGGCGCCGTTTCTTTATATTAGGCATCTATCTCACATCAATTCATACGCATCCATCCTATTGCATCAGGGACGAAAAATGGATCAACAGCGGCTGATAAACGAGGTCCTTCATCCAAAGCCTATCGCTAATCAAAGCCCTTCACCCGGCTCACCCCAATCCGGGAGAAACATGCCACCACGAAAATGCAAAGCCTCATCGCGTCACATCGAAAGTGGTACACCCTTCCTCGCCCTCCCAGCCGAGATCCGTCTCGAAATCTATCGCCTCCTCCTCGTCTCCAAGGCCTACGCCGAGCTTCACCACTGCACCTCCAAAAAGTTCCGTCTTATCCCTAAGGAACCTTGGGACTGTCCTCTTGAAATCGATCCACAAATCTTACTGACTTGCCGGATCATCAATAAAGAAGGTACCCCGATCTTGTACTCGGAAAACGGCTTTCGAAGGGGTTATTCCTGGCCGCGTCGCTATACTCATACGCGAGGACGCAGAAAGTGGCCGATTTCTGATACGTCGCCTGTAAGCAAGGTTAATTTCGCTTGTATCTCTCGATTACGCCTTTTTCGAGATTACGATCACTGGTTTTGTGATGGGGAACTCAAGATCTTCAAAGACGTTCCGCACTTGAAAGATCTGGACATTCACATTGATCAAAATGACTTCGCTGAGGCGTCCAGCGAGTTTACATACCAAACCCTCAAAGCAATCCGCTCAGGTATTCGGTCCCTCAATATGGAAATCCGTCTTGATTTCCGGGAAAAAGCGCATACAGACTGGCTAGCCAAATGCAAAGACCGCGAGACAGAGAACTTCAGTATTCATTTGGACAAGAAGCGCGCTCTGGAGACATGGTTCGAACACGAGGGACTGTTTACTGATAGATCACTTTTCTGGCGTTTTAAAACGCAGCGCTCAGAGTGGTGCGGGCCGTCGTGTTACATCAGTTTTGCTTTTGACGACAAGCGCAAGGAGTATGAATACATCGATTTGGAGGTCTGAGATGATAGCGACGGCAAGTTTGGGCGTTTGAAGACCTCCGAGGAGAATGCGAGTTCGTTGGTCTTAAGGGAATAAGCAAAGAAAATAAGACATTTTTTAATGAAGCATCGTTGACCCGTGTTTGAGATGGCGTCGACGCCACTGTCAGCTCCCGCCGTCCCCGGGTCATAGCGTAGCAGGGTACCTGCGCGATCACTCGCCTGTTTGAGTTTGGTGCAGTGTGATTTGGCTTCCCGTTGGAATGATGGGCGCTATAATCATTCCTCGGCGAGAAAGGGGACACAAAGTCTGAGACTCAGATTTTGGTGTCATGTTTTCTGTCCGGTGAGACGGGATCAATCTGGGCCAGAATGGAGGAGCTAGGCCAGGAACGTAGTTGGACTAATCTTAGCAAGGTCTCTGCTAAAACACCTTGGGCCCTGGGGATTATTTCCGTTCTTTCCCTGTCTTCTTGTCTTGCAGAGCCTCAAGATGATTGTCTCGAGGGGTTTGTTCCTCCTCTGTTTGGCAGTGTTGGCGACGGCCATTTCGCTGTCAGAAGTACCCTCATGTGCAGTAAGTCCGGGAAGCAGATTGTTTTATTCCCCTTAAGACTGACGCGTGTAGATACCATGCATCCTCGAAACGATGGACTCGTCTGGCGAAACGAATGCGAACATAAGATCGATGTGCGAGGACCCGGACTTTCAGACCGATGTTTTGAATTGTGTTACTGGAGTATGCACTGCGCAAGAGATACAAGGTATGTCTGATGGGTATTGGCTGCACGTTTGGTAGTTAACATCATGTAGGGTTTATAGTTATGGGAAAAGAGTTATGCCAGATGCCGCTCCAGGATAACCGACAAGAGTATCGAGCCACAATCATTGTATTCGCGACGTTGTCATTTTTCTTCTTCGTGTTGAGGGTCACGTCCAAGATCCTGACCAAGAATGCATGGGGCACCGATGATACATGGGCAGCTATCACTTTTGTATGCTGGCACTCGCTCGGTTTGCTGATGATCCTGCTGACGGTGGAAAGTGCATTTTGATACCATTCACGGTCTTTACGCTACTTGGTATGACCTATTCATGCTGCTTGTGTGTGTCATCCAGCTAATGATTCACAGCAATACATCACGGCCTCGGACTCGCTACGCCATTATTTACCAGGAATGACCTGTCTCAAGCCCTCAAGGTACTTGAAGAAGTGCACGATTAGATAATTGCTAATGATACCGTGGTAGGAGATCTTTATCCTTCACCTTCTCTACGTCTGTGGTCTCGCAGCAGCCAAGACGTCGATTCTTTTCTTTTATCTACGTATTTTCTCGGACAATTCGTTCAGAATGTTAGTCTGGGCAACCCACGCCTTCAACGCCTTATCGACTGTCATCATTATTACTCTGAACCTCACGCTCGGACGGTCTGTCACATATCTCCTCGAAAACAGCTCAGATGACGTGGTGAGCATGAGAAAATATTCGAATGCCATTAAGATTGTTCTGGCGCACTGCGTAGTGAATCTGGCACTTGATGTTTGGATGCTCATCCTTCCAATGACGCAACTTTACAACATCGGATTGAAGCTGGACAAGAAGATCAGCGTGATGGCCATGTTTGGTCTGGGTCTGTTGTAAGTTCAGGTCACCGTTGCAGTTTCAATGGGATATCTAACAGATGGCGTAGTCTCACGGTAGTCAGTCTGATTCGGACAATTTACCAGTCGCAGCTCCTTGCCAAGCCCGAAGAAGCGCGTAAGTCTGCATCGATCAGTAGCCAAGCACCAATTAATGATATCAACAGAGACAGGTCAAGTGCAGGTAGTTCTCTGGGCATGTATCGAGACGTACATGGGCGCCATAGTCGCCAGTGTACCATCAACACGCCAGCTTGTGCGGAAGGTGATTTACCGGATGAGGAAGCAGAATGAAGGGCAGTCAACAAACAAACCTATTTTTATTGACAGGTCGTTGGCACCGATACCGGATGACGAGGATATGCCGACGCTGAGTGACGTTGGGGGACTGACGACTGTTACAGTCAGTAGTGGACGGACGGCAGTGTCGGGGACGGAGCACGAGATGGAGACTGTTAGTAAGCTAGGGCAGGAAAGAAATCTCGGGACCTCGATGCTAAATGCCAAAAAGGCTTAGGTAACTTTATATAGGTTTAGGATACCTTTTGTTGAGTTTATTTTGACGCCCTTGTCAAGGTCTGACGCTTTCTTGCTCCCTGAGGGTTAAGGCAGGTCGATGAGGCTGTTGGCGGATGAGTGGAAGAGCATTGCATACTGAAGAGCGAATCATTTTCTTGGGCATTATTTTATGATAGCGATTTAACACCATGTACCTTGCACAAAAAGTCAGCAGACATGATCGCTGGGTTTCCGAAACGCCGAGCCATGTCCATCGGAGTAACGCCAGTTACGTGACACCAACTCGTACAGGAAAGAAACAAACAGCTCAAACTCACTATTTCCAGATTAATATTAAAGTAATCTTGGCTTTGAACAAAGCACTAAAATTAAACTGTCAAAGACAAAACGAGACAAAGCGAGCGAGCGAGGGTGGATAAAGTGCAAAACACCGTCGGAAACAAGCATCGTCATTATTTTAGATCCGCCAATCAGCGAAGGATTGTAAAAACTTGGCACATCTCGATGCAATTGACGTCACTGGCTGCGGGAAATATGTATTATGACAGAGAAAACGCGGGATAGCGCCCATGACCACGTATGAAGCGGTGTGCAACCCATTCACACGGAAATGCCATCATTGTGCGACCTGAAGACCCTGGATCGGGGGTGAGACATATATACGTCGATGATCTGCGACTTTTCTTCTTTTGCTAAATGTCTCAGGCCGTTGGGCATCAAACCTACGCACTGATCTCATGCGCTGGTAAAAAAGGAATATCTTTTGAGACAAAGAACTCACACTAAACAACGTCAACAAAATGAATTACGCTAATATGATTGAGGAGAAAAACCTCAAGGTAACTGCTCCCCTTTGAGCTATTGATTTGTACTTTATTAATGTTGTCTTATATAGAAAACATTCATCATAGCTACACTATGCAGCACCCTCGTCGGAACATTCACATCCTCAATGGGTCTCTGGGACCGCGTCAAAGAAAAGCGCAAGCAAGCCAAGCGCGACACGACCCAAGACGAGGAGATCAAGAAGCTCAAGGCCCAAGTCGAGCAAAATTCCCGCGCCCGCGACGAAGTCGAAGCTTCCTTCCAGCGCTCGGGCGCCCTGATCAATCGCGAATTCGAAGACGGCTACCAACGCTACGGACAGCGCTTTGCGATCGGCGACGTCATCACGGAGAATAAATTACAGGCACAGGTCATTGCACTGCAGCAGACTGTCATCAATGTCCTGCAGGATGCGGTGTATAATGGACGCCAGCTTGACAGGGCTGATATGGCGAGGTTGATAGCGGCGAGTGATGCGGCGAGGGAGGGATCGCTTGGGGCGTTGAGACAGCAGAGGGAGAGACTTATGGACCTGGAAGAACCTCCGCTGCCGAAAGCTTTACCGCCGCCGAAACGGGCATCGACTATTATTAAGGACGATCCTCTTTATTGTCGCTACGCCCTTGATCTGCAGTACATACCCGAACGACCCCTCGCGTCGACATTTGAACCGCGGGGTGATTGTCTCTGTCCAGCATGCGATGTCTTTCTAGACGTTGAGGCAGACGATGCATGGGCAATTGGAAAAACAGCCACGCGCGTTATCACAGAAAAAGGAGGCTACAAGCGCGAGATCGACGAAGAGCTCGAATTCCACATCAGTCCACGCTTCGTCATAAAGTGCCACACACCAGAAGGAGAATTTGCCTGCGTTCTGTGCTCCCGCTTCCGCGATGGTGATGTTTTATGTCCAAGCGCTGATACGCTCATCAACCATATTGGACGGGAACATACGGTTGCGGAGATGGAGAGGGAGCCGGACTTTGAGGTCAGGTCGCTTGATCTTGACAAGGTGAGGCCTGTTGATATGAACAAGAGGATCATGCCGGCCAAGAGTGTTGGGTCCGATAGGAGGAGCTCGTCGGGGAGGAGTGTAGTGTCTGGAAGAAGTGTCGTTGATACGAGCAGGAGTGCGAGGGCGATGAGTGTGGATAGGAGGAGTGTAGATAGACGGAGTGTTTATTAGAGAGCATTAACATAGCGTGTTTCGAGCGTAGCAGATTGTTCATTTCAATAGCATCACATATTCTATCCATTTTGCACTTGTTTGATTGAGTACATACGATAAGACCCTGCGTGATCAGGGACGTGGGGGACCGGCAAGACTGCAGCGCCGATCTTGATACCCAACCGTATGAGGGCATTCAGGGATCACCCCATCACGCCTCACTCTTTGTAACGCGTGGTTTCTATCCAACCGAAGCGGGCCGCGCATTCACCTATCAACTATAGCCAAAGCAAGACTGTGAAATTGACTCCTGATACCTAATGTAAATTACTCTACAACGCCTAATGCTTAACACTAAATCTAACCATGAAGAACCATTACTCCAAGCCAATTACCTATTGCACTTCTTCAACAACCCCTCAATCTTACTCATCACCTCCGGGATCCTAAATGGCTTTGAAACAAGATCATCCATACCACTATCCAGCGCCATCCTTATCTGCTCATCCCTCACATTCGCCGTCACCGCAATAACAGGAACATGCTCCGCAATCAACCCCTCCCTCTCCAACCTTCGTATCTCCCTAACGCACTGATACCCATCCATGTTCGGCATCTCTAGGTCCATGAGTACAACAGATAAATCTGATCCCCCAGTTTTAAAGAAATGTGTCTTTTTGAGAAACTCCAGCGCTTCAAGCCCGTCGTTTGTCGCGCTTACGGTGCAGCCTGCCTTGCGGAGCTGATTGACGAGGACTTTTTGGTTGATGAGGTTGTCTTCGACGACGTGCACTGTTAGGGCGCTGGGGGTGAAGACGGCGGCGAGGATGCTCTCGCGACGGGTTCGGGCGGAGGGGTTGGGGGATAGGAGGTGGAGTGTCTTTTTGGTAGAGGGTACTTCGGAGAGGATTGGCTGGGGGGAGGATTGTTCGTTGGGAGGTGAGCATCGACGTGCTTGGATGTAGAAGCCAAAGTCACTGCCTTTGCCGGCTGTAGACGCAACGCCGATGCGACCGCCATGTAGCTCTGCGAGTCGTTTCGATATAAAGAGTCCTAGACCACTGCCGCCGTATTTGTAGTGTGTTCGTGGGCTCGCCTGCTTGAATCTTTGGAACAGCCGCTTCTTCTCATCGTCGGTCAATCCACAACCTGTATCCTGCACTCTGTATCTCACGTACAGACCCTCTCCAGAACCCCACTCATCGGATCCAACGACACTGCCAATCTCACCCCTTGTAGGCGCAAACGCAAAGCCGGGAATGCTGTCTACCTCGGGTGGATCCTTCGACACTCCAATTGCGACTTTTATCACACGCGTTGAAGAAGACGCCGTGAATTTGATAGCGTTGGTCATGAGATTGATGAGGATCTGAAGAACACGACTCGGATCCATGGCAACCCAATCCACAGCTAGCTTCTCAAACTCAGTGCTGATATCAATCTCAAGGGTGATATCTTTTGCTAACATTTCTGACTCAAACATCTTGACCACCCTCTCAACGATGGTCTGCGGCTGACATACCACTGGTGTTATCAAGAGCAGATTGGAGTCAAGTTTTGAAACGGTGAGGATGTCGTCTACGATTGACCTCTGATGCTGAACGCAAAGCGCTATGGTTTGCGATGCATCAAGGCATGATTCAATAACGTCCTGTGATGCTGTGATCCCGTTGGTGCGGCAGGCTTGCATCGCAGAGGTGATGTCATCTGCGCATTGGAGAATTGCACTCAAGGGGTTACGCATCTCATGAGATGTTATGTCGATAAATTCGTTCTGCTGGCGGCGTGTTTCCTCTGCTTCTTGCAATCTTCTGTTCTGTAAACCCTGTGCCCATTTCAGGTGTGAGATATCCGTTATGGAACCCATTGTAGACCGCAAGGTACCACTGGGGGTGATTTCGGGATGGGCGGTGACGAGGACCCAAAAGTCGATAGGTTCACCGTGAATGTTGACGGGGTTCTCGAAACTTTCTCGGAGTTTAACTTCTCCTGACCAGGGGAGCATATCCTGTGTTAGACGATGCCATCCTTGTTCCATGACACTGCCCGAGTTCTTCATGAGATCAGCCCATGACACATCACCTGGTGTATCTCGACTATGACCTGTCATCTCGTAGAAGCGATCATTTGCTTCGCGGAGTATACCCTCTGGACTGGTGAGGAACATTCCCAATGGAGACAGTTCTGTCATTCTTCGAAGACGGCTTGCTTGAAGGTTGAGTTGCTGCGTGAGTTCTTCTTTCTCAAGCGCTGCTGCTTCTGCTGCGTCGCGACCACGACGCGTCTCGTCTTCGAAGAGAATGGTTGATGCGAGTGAAGTAGCGAGTTGGTTGTTGAGGAGCGTGGCGAAGGAAACGTACCCCTCATCATACGGTCTTCGAGGATTGACGCCCAGAACGAGGAACGCCAGTACCGTCTCGCCATTCGTAGGGCGAACTGGAAAAATAATCGCCTCCGTACCAGGCTCTTCAAATCCTCGCCACTGAATCCCCTGCAGTAGATCTTCCGGCAACGTTCCGTCTCGTATCCTTACAAGCGTAGGTTCCCGTGTCCGCATCGCCTCTCGAAACGAAGGCACAAATCCCTGGTAACTCCTCTTGAGATCAATCTGCTCCGGCGCAGCATCATGTCCAAGCGGTATCCCAATCGTTCCCTCCAAGTAACACGACTTGCTTGATATCGTACTCCCCGACGAACTCGACTGATGATCTGCTTCTTCAGCCTCGCCGACGGAGTACAGAAGTGCAAACGGGACATCTCGATGATTATCCTCAAGACCATCAAGAACAGACTTCCAGAAACTCTTGATACTCATCGCTCTCCTCAAAGACTCACTCACTTTGTTTATCGTGCCCATGCGTCGCTGACTCAATACCAAATCCGTCGTCTCAAATGGTGCATTGTAAAAGCCCACAATCCTCTCCGTCCCACCATACAACGGAGTAAGTGACCAGCAAATATGCGTCTCCTCCAAGAACCCCCTCCTAAACAACGCCAGGTCATTA